GAGGGGCACTAGACCTTTAGCATCCAGATCTCTGGAAGGAGGGCATGTAGTATTTGGACATTCTCAGCCTTCTCTGTGAGTAGAGACTCTTGCTGGCTTACTCAGTGGATACTACTTAGCTTGGACACAGATTTCTTGAGGGGAGGGTGTTTAAGATATCAAGCCTTTCTGGTGGTGGTCTGCCTCTGGATTCTGCTATTCTTCATGAACAATTGAGAGCTGCTTGGAAACAGGCGGCTCAAAAACATAGTCTAAAGTTTTCCGTTTGCTGAGTTTTGTGTTATCTTAAAAATCTCCCCGAATTGCTTTAGTTTGCCTACACTGCCATATTACGTGCTCTCTGTTTCATCATATGGATATGCTGTAGTGTTCTGTTTTTCCTTCATTTTTCAAGCCTTGTGTGGATTCCTCATTCTTTATCTGATTCGCACTCTGGTATTTGTCCACAAACGTGACTGCATGACATGCAGCAATCCTGCATTCTGTTCTTGTTCTTTCAGTGTTGATGCTACAAAAGAAACCAATCGTCTGGGAAGACTGATTAATCACAGCAAATGTGGCAATTGTCAGACAAAGCTGCATGACATTGATGGTGTGCCTCATCTCATTCTGATAGCTTCCAGAGACATTAAAGCAGGTGAAGAACTGTTGTACGACTATGGAGACAGAAGTAAAGCTTCCATTGAAGCTCATCCATGGCTGAAACACTAATTCATCTTCTTTCTTTGAGTTGGGTGTTTTTTTGGACTGAGTGCTCTACAGGGAGTCAGTGGATATTTTTTTTTCCCTGTCCTCACTTCCCTCGGCTTTCTTAATGGACTGCTTATGGTGTTCCAAGCTCCTTAGAAACTACCTTTTTGCTTTGCAGTATTTAAATATCTATTACAGTTTTCCAGGCAGGCTTGAATAATTGATCTTAGATTGCCAAAACTTGTATATCATAGAAGGAAACTCTCCCTAAAATTTGAATACTTCTGCGTAGTGACCAGTGCCACTTGAGCATGCAGTCGAAGACTTGCACAGAAACTTAATCACTTGGGTTGTGCTTCTTGCTTTTGCAATGAAATCTCATGCTCCACTTTGTGGGGTGATGAACGTGGCGTTAGCTTTATGATAGCAGATGTACTTCTGTACTCTGACTCGTACATCCAGTGGCTTGACTGCTTGTCAGAATGCTTTTGACATCCCAGCGCTGACAGGCTTCTCTGAGATGGACGCGACTGTTTCTATCGTTCTCAAATAATTTGTGGTAGGAATCCAGTTTTTCCAGTGTCGTATCTCATGTTGGCAATGAACTTTAAATGCACTGGCGCTGGGGGAAATGGATGGTCAAATTGTCTGCTTTCTTCAGAGAAATGACTCCAAGTCAAATGAGGATGGGTTTTGATAGACTGGGTTGATACTGATTAGAAATGTGAAGATTGAACTTCACAGTGTGAATCAGTGTTTGACATTTACTTGTTTTCTAAAATTTAAGATGGTACCTTTTTATATTTGATGGCTGATTCTTGGAGGTATCTCCCAGAACATTTTAAAGAAGTAAAAGAAAGCGCTCTCCAAAAATTTTTTTATTACCTTCCTACGCTACTTAGCCACATCAGAAGCTATTTATTTACTGTGAATGCTTGAAGTAGAGCATAGTGATTCCAAAAACAGGAGTCGTCTTCATATGCAGCTTCAAACTGTGATGATGGAGTTCATGCAATGAAGAAAGTAGATTCCTTATTGCCTGGTCCTGTAGGTCTGTCCAGCATGGTCTGGTCCCACTGTCTTAAATGGGAGTCGAGTGCTTAGCATCTTGCGGATGTTAGTAACGTCACTGTTGGAGAACCAAATCTGTGGTATAGGCGGGCAATACAATGCAGGTCCTTTATGTTAAAGATGAATTCTTACCAGTTGGAATTTTTGCCAAGGCAGGCTTGGCATGTGCGTAGATGAAAATGGCTGTGAGCCATCAGCCACGCTTGCTGCTGGAAGATGTCAGCAAGGGATCTGTGGCTCTGTTCATGTCTTTCGTTCCTCATGTCTTGAAGGCTGCTGATGTTCCAGCTGATGCCCTCTAGGACAATCTTCTATGCTTGCCTATGTGATAGGTCAAATAGCAACAACATCCTGGTTGTGTGCTCCAGCAGCAAGAGAGGTGGCTTAGTGATGTATTTTTTAAATTAAAAACTTGAAGACAATGTCTCTGTAAAATAAAGAATATATTTATTATTGATGAAGTGGCTGCTATAGTACCTGTCTCCATTGCAGATCACTAGCATTTTGAAAGAAAGCTGTGAAAATCATTCGCCATTAAATGCTTTATATTATTTACCACTTAACACAAGGCAAACTCATCAGAGACAGCCTGTGTATCTTCACCATTTCTGAAGATTTAACTGGAGACCTGTTACCATACTGAGTTACAGGTAAGCTGCGCTGGTTGTCTTTTGTGTTGGCACTGATTTTTCTCTGGCCTCAGTAGCAGAGACGACAGCAGTGTGCAGTGTCCTGTTTTACTAAAGCACTTCCATTAAGTTGAAATTGGAAAAAAAAATGCTTCCTTTTGTTTTGTTATTTAAAGAAATTCTTGTTCCCAATCAGGTCAAATAGCTTATAACCTCTGTTCTTCAGTATCACTTTTGTAAACAAGAAAGGGGGAAGATCTCTTCCTGTTTTACGTAAAAGGAAAATTGTCTACTCCAAAACGCTTAACTGGTAATCAAGTAGCACTGCATCGGAAGATGGTAATAAAGCTGATGTTGCACTGAGTATGTATCCTTTACTTTTCTAGGAATTGATATGTATATAATATATATGTATCAAAATACCCTTCACAGAAACATGCCATTTGGATTTTTATCTGTGTGCCTTATAGGAAGGCTTCATCTTCTAAAAAGGTGTAAAGCACTTAGCAGGGAAAGATGCCCTGGAGTTGGGGAGGGGAGCTAAACTGTCGTTGTCAGGCCGGTGTGGCTTTGCCAGAGGCAGTGGGGTTGCCTAACAGGGCTGTAGCCTCTTCTTGTGTAGCCCTAGCCAAGGAATTTGCTCTCCTCTTGAAAGAGAAGCCATGCAGCTCACTGGGCATCAGAGTGGATCAGCTGTGATGGTTCCAGAAAAAAACTAGCCCAAAAAGGTTGAGATGCTGTCCTGTCTGCTTTAACTGGTAAACTCCCACCTATATTATTTAGAAAAAACACAACACCACAAACCAAAACATCAACCCCCCAAAAAACCCAAAAACCATCTTAAATAGTAAAGTGAAAATAATTGCAGCTTTCATGATTGTCTCCTTCCACTGACTGCCCAGGGTGGTGTTAGTCTTCGGTGCCTCCAGGTCAGGTGTTACTTCTGCTCAGCTTTGCTTAATCTGTGCAGTTTATTACCTGAAGTTGTTTCAATAGACCTAGTGGAGTGATTAGTGTGTTTTGGGGCATAGTTTCCCCCCTGCTTTTAAAGGAGATTGGAAAATACATCCCTGGATAAACTACAGAAGAGGCTGGAGTTCAGAGCACGCTTACGCCTCTGAGCTCAAGAGCTGTTCATCCTGGCTGTTGGTGATGCGTGATTGTTTAGGCTTTTTTTGTTGTTGGTTTGTTCTTTTTTTGTGTTTTGGATTTTTTTCCTCTAATCACAAAGCCTGTGCTGAGGAAATGCAGTAACTTCCTTCCCTGCTACCATGCTCTGGAAAATACCTTGCAGGGACATGGCCAAGGCTTGTTAATATTCTGAAGATGGCAAAATTACTTCAGCAGTTCTGTGCCCTGCCTAAACCAGCTTGCTTAGGTCAGACGGCTTTGATGTTGCCTTGCTAACAAATTCTTTCTGAAAGGAGACTGCAGTTCTGCCTTCTGCAAAGCCACATGTGCAGTGTGCATCAGCAGACGTGTGAAGTGTCCTAGATTTTTCATGCTGCTAGCGTGTGAGAGGGAATCAAAAGATTTCAGAGCCTGCTTTCACTTCTGAAGAGAGTAAGATCATAGTTTGATACCTGTCACTGCTCCTTTTATGTCTGTTGAGATTTTTCTGCTCTGGAAACTACTTTTCTAAATGTGGAAGCTAATTGGTATCTTTCAAGCTTCTTTTCTACTCTGTTTGCCCTATATTCTTCCACTAATGATAAATCTCATTACTTGGGCTAATACACAGCTTGTGACAGTCGACTGAAAGAACAGAGCTTATGAAAAATGTAACTATCTGTTACAGGAGACCTTCAGCTGTCAGAAATGAAATGTTTGGTGCATCTGTTCTGGTTTGAGCATGTCTGCACCTCTGAAGAGACATCAGTCCTTCATGTGGGCAGAGCATGATGCAGCAGCCTTTTTTCCCTTGAGCTGCTCTTCTCTGCCAGCTTCCATCTCGATCCCAAACAGCCACTCCTGTGTGTGCAGGGGGGGGTCTGTTGTCACAGCCCAACTACATCTTCCTTGGGTGGGGTGGGACAGGCTTCTGCCTGCTGCTGCCTGTGTATCACCCGTCTAATGCAAAGACAGACACGGAACAAAAAGCAATCCTGACGTTTTCTTCAAGCAGTTCTGTGTTAGTGTAAGATACTTAATTCCTGCATGAGAGCAGTGGGGACTGCAATTTGGATGAGTTCTTCCTTCCCAGTGCTTCTCTATTCACTTGTGAATGGCATATAGCTCTTAAAAAATATCTTCATCTTGCAAAATCATTTGGCCTGAGCATTTTTGTAGGTGGACAGGATAAATAAGTGGTAGTACCGATCACCACAGGGTCTTTTAATAAACATTTATTAAAAGGTGATTTTTATTCTTATTCTCTACATATGGGTAATGTCTGGCTGGAATGTAAGAAATACAAAAAGTCTCTCTCTTAAACAGTTTCTAAAACGGCACAGTAAAATCTGTTCTGAAAGAATATTATACAACACCGTTTTAATGAGATTGCTTATTCTCTACAGTAGGAGTGATGCTTTTTCTTCCCATCATTGACTCCTCTTAGAGGCTCTCATCAGTGCTGCTTCTGAACAGAAGTGGTTAAGTTCTTGAGGATGCTCATTTTCCTTGTTTAAAAGAGAACCTAAAAAAAAAAAAGACAACAAAAAGGAAACAATGCACAACTGGAAAAGGAGGAGCATGCAGTGAGATGGCTGTGTCCATGTGTTCTGTTATTACTGGGAACTTCAGGGGCGCAGCCTGAGGTTGTGGGTACTGCATACAGTGGCTTCCTCCAATGTAAACAAACCTCCAGGGACCCCTGGCATGTTCCCACAGCCGAGTCTTTACGTGCTAACAGGGGAGGCAAGGATCGCATAGTTTTCCTCTGAAATGCTTATTTTTCCTAGAAAAAAGTGATGCCTTGCTTGCCTGGGTGGAGGTTGTCTTCCTGGGGAGTATGTTTTCCACAGGAAAGGATTTCTCTATTGGGTTTTAATTTTACAGAGAGAGGAGGAGAAAACCGTATCCAGCCAACTAGGCCAAAGTTCAGTGTTCATCCCTGGGTTCATTCCGTACGAAGCCTGCCACATTCGCCCTTATTCTGCTAGAAGAGATGCAGATACACTTACAGCCGTTTGATGATTGTCTTCTCTTCACTGTCCTTGCTGGTACCAGGGCTGCTGCCACTGGCTTCTTTTTCCAGTCCTTCAGTTTGGTCCCTTCTCTGTGAGATGATCCCACTGAGAGAAGAAGAGGGTTTGTTTATTTTTTGTGGTTTTGTGCATAGTGTGTCATTGCTGGTCTGTTAAACCCTTCACCTGGTGAACGGGTGTTCCCAGGACAGGGATGGCAGCCTGGCCTACTTCTGGTAATGAATTGGTTGTCTTTTCCTTAAATACTGCAATGTAATTTTGCTTAGACAATGCTTTAATGAGAACACTAAAAAAGTAACAACCTGACTTCTCCACAGAGGAAGAACAGCAAATCATGACAGGAGTGAAAGGGAAGTGAAATTACACATTGGATTTGTCCAACAATCCAAAGATCACTGCAGGGTGCAGACATACATGGTGAATTTTTGCATGGGTGGATCTGTGGAACCTTCAGGGCAGCCATGAAGGCTCACACCATGCGGCTGGGAACAGATGGGAGACTCCCAGCTTCCCTGCAAGGCAGGTGGCTGCTCCCCTTTCCCTCCGAGAGAGGAGAAGAGAAAGGCTGTGCCTGAGCTGTAGATTTTGTCATCCTACTTCAATGCTGCTACACTCCACAGGGTTGAAACCGCCTACTTCAGGCAAAAGCTTTGATTTTACCACACGATGTTTCCCCTACTTGGAATTGGGTTGGATTTCACCAGCTTGCACACTATGCTGTGTTTCCACACTACGCCAGTTACCGTCCCGAGCTGACCTCGTCTGTCTTGAGAGCTGAGTGGATCAACGCTCGTGACTGCAGTAGCTGAAGGCTGGAAGTAGCTAAGTAACACTTGTCCGGAGCTTGGAAATAAAAATACAGGAGACTGTCTGGAAACTGGTGTGACATCAGGCACGGGATAATTCTGAGGCAGATTCTCCTCTTAGGGAAACAGGACTATGAGCTGTTTGTGACACCGCAGATCTCTAATATCTGTACGGTAACTTCTGCTCAGAAATAGTGATTAAAAAATCAGTCATTTTAAGCCATTCTCTGTGAGTATATTGGTGATCTTATGCTCTATGGCCCTTATTCCCAATATACACAAGACATTTGAGAACATTTATTTATCCTCTTTCTCTGCACAACTGCTCTTCATGGCCAAACAATTATTATTGGGACTTCAAGCAAATGTCTGAAGGGAAGATGGTTTGTGGCTGAAGCTGTAATGCTGTACCAGGAGACAGCCACATCAAATTACTTGAACTGAAAAGCAGCCTTGATGCACTCCAGGTGCACAGCACTGTGACTTAAATCATTCACTCAAAAACTGAAAACATTAGCACTGTTAATTTTTAACTTGGCCCGTAATAAGCTGTGTGACGCAGCTGGGAAAGCAGAGCAAGAAGCTGTTCCAGTGGTGGCACAGCAAAGGCAGGCAGCTGAGCTGGGGAAGCGGTGCCTCACTGTGCTGTGAGAAGTGCTGCCACCCAGTTTGTAAACGGGCTTCTTGGATTTAACTTTAACTTCTTGGCTTACCCTGCCTGTCACAGACAAGGCAAAGGGCAGGCTTACGAGATCTAAGAGGTTGTTGCTGAGATATCTCGGCTGAAATCTAATGCGCTCAGACATCTTGTGTCTCGATTAAGAAGTAGTTTCTCCCCCTCGAAGAGTCTGTAATACAACGCGATGATGAGGGGCAGAGGTTGGGGGAGAGCAGGCTTGAAGGTGGAGGAATTTGTAGCACCAAGAGCAAGACCCTTCCTCCATCCCACCCTTTGGCTCACTCTCATTTTCCCAGGATGGTCCCTTCTAGAAAGACCAAAATCCTTCTCTGAAAGCACTTGTTTTGCACAGTGCCTTACACAACTCTGTTGGCAGCCTTAAAAAAAAAACTACAGTTTTATCTTGAATGATGACAAAAGGGCTTAATATTCTGCTTTCTAGATCAATGCCGTACCTGCTGTGGGAGCAAAGGAACCGTAACTAAGCTAGGCTCTGCAACGGCACGCTGGGGGAGGAAGGAAACTTTGACTAAAGCTGAGCTGGAAACCCCCGTGCTCTTTGGTGTGTAGTGTGGCTTTAGACAAGAACAGTGAGCGTGCAACTGCTGTGACTGCATAATGAATTCCTGTGCTTGAGAAGCAGCTTGGCTGTGGAGTGGGAGGAACTGTACGTAGGCTTACGGGAGGTGGTACGCTTACAGTAACAGGCTGTGAACTGCGCAGAACGAGAGGGAGTTTAGTTTTAAAATTATGTTGCATAGAGAGTTCATCGTTCCCCCATTTTTCTTTGCTAATTTGTAGGCTCTTGGGAGCACAGAGGTGTCTCATATGTCTGGACAGTGCCCAGCCCGATCTAGGTGCTCAAACCTGCAAGACTCTGATTTGGTAAGCTCCCCAGATAAGAATTGTTATTAGTTTTTTGCTGACTTCATGATATACCTCTTATAGCACTGTAGCTCCTCTTGCACCACAAGAAGCTGAGCTTTCAGCTGGTTACGCTCTTGCAATACATCTCGCAGCTCCTGCAACGTGAACCGGGGGCGATTTGGATCCGAGAGATCTATTACCATTTTATCTGGTCCAAGGCTGAGCTGCAAAATAAATGGTGGTGGTGGTCATGATCTTGTAACCTGTCAAAAACGGGGTACTCATAGAGTAAAAACTCTGAATTTTATAAATATAGTAAATCTTAGAACTAGTATGAGTTCCTCACAATCCTGATTTTTTCCAAGCAGTTAATTACAGTTTTTTGTATTATTTTGGAATCCCCTTGGTGTCTGTATTTCCCAGCCAGGTACAGGGCTCCACTGTGACACAGCTAAAAGCAAAGTCTCTGTCCCAAAGAGTCTGCGATTTTGTTTGGCAAGAAGCTGCTTTTATCTGCGTTTCTGATGATTCGAGAGAGGCCGAGCGATCGCCCAACGTCACACCAAAACCGTGGCAGAGAGAGGTGAGAACCAAATTCTCCTTTCCTAATTTAAGACTTTTGTGTTAATGGCTTCAAGGCCCCCTACAAAGCCGAGAAGCAAACTCCGAGACTCGTTCTGCTGTGACAAAAGACACCGGCGATGGCAGCGAGAGCATCC